TGAGTGTCTTAAATAGGGGCCCGCTTTTCTCAGCTACCTTAGAAATAAAGCGGCTCTGGCCCGCTATTCGACCAGTTAGGATCTGCACCTCCTTCACCTTCGTGGGGGGCTACATCTCGATCACCGCCCTCACTTCTCCGGGTTGACCTCGATTCCCCTCTTCGTGACCATGTAGCCCAAAAATTTCCCAGATTTGACCCCGAATGAGCACTTAGTGGGATTCAGCTTCATCCCATACTTTCGGAGGGTCATGAATGTTTCTTTCAAGTCGTTTACATGGTCAATTTCATCTTTGCTCTTTACGAGCATATCATCTACATACACCTCCCTGTTCCTTCCCAGCTGATCCTTAAAAATTTTATCCACCAACCTCTGATATGTCGCCCCTGCATTCTTTAGACCGAATGGCATCACCACATAGCAGTATGTTCCACGGCTTGTTACAAAGCTGACCCTTTTCCAATCCTCTCGAGCCAGTGGGATCTGATGATAACCCTGGGATCAAACTGAGTAGCTCACACCCGATTGTGGAGTCGACCAGCTGGTCGATCCTGGGAAGCGGATATAAATCCTTCGGGCATGCCTTGTTCAAATCTCGAAAATCTATGCACATCCGCCATTTCCCCTCTAACTTTGAGACCATAACCATGTTCGATAGCCACTCTGGGAACTGGATCTCCTTTATGTGACCTGCCACCAAGAGCTTTTCTACCTCCACCTCGATTACTCTATCCATCTCTGCCCCGTGGTGTCTCCTTTTTTGCTTCATCGGTCTTACCGTGAGGTCGATGTTCAACCGGTGCTCAATAACCTCGGCCTTAATGCCGGTCAACTCCTCTGTCGAGTATTCGAACACATCTGCAAAATCTCTTGTCACCTTAATTAGCCTCGATTTCACCGGCTCCTCCAATTCCTTCCCGATCCGGAACTTCCTTTCTTCGCACCCCTCGACCATCTGTATCTCCTCCACTTCGCCACCCGGCTGCATTTCGGCATTCTCCTTCCCCTTCTCTGGCTTATGTCTTTCCTCCTTCGACCTCGACCCTCCCGGTCGATTGACTTCCTCCCCCTTGGGGTGCATCTTCCTCCTTGCTAATTGCTTGTTGTTGCTCACAGTGGTCTGGTAGCAGCTTCTCGAGGTAAGTTGATCCCCAGCGATCTCACCAACGTTTTCGCCCACCGGATATTTGATCGTCATGTGGTACGTGGATACGACCGCCTGGAACGCGTTCAGGCTCGTTCTCCCCATTATGATGTTGTAGGATGACTCAGCTCCTACGACCACAAATCTCACCATTCGAACCTTCCGAGTCGCTCCCTTTCCCAGTGCTAGAGA